AAATGCTAATGAAATGGAGACATACAGTAGTTTGTAGCTAAGCTAACTATGCTAAATGGTTGATAATCTCACACAGTCTACCCACTTCTCTTGGAGAAAAACTGGGTTATAAATTAACACTCTTGCCTTTTTCTCTCTCTCCCTCTCTCTCTCTATTTTGTTTTTGAAAATCTGATTTTATAACTTTTCTTAGCATAGTAACTGGCACAGTCGTTCGCAGCTTCTACTGACTGCAGCTGCATAGAGCGTCACTCTCAAGCGCTCGAAGCAGGAATGAACCATTTCATGCAGATCCAGGGGGAGTTCAGGGCAAAAACGAATGTGTGTTTTTTTGGTCTGGGAGGGGTAACATTAAATTTTTACTGCTAAAAACAATCTCTGAAAAATACAATATGATTAATTTTGTATTTGACAGGACTCCGATTTTTTTTAAATTTTATTTCTATGAACAAAATATAAATAATTAAATTGTGGAGGGCCCCCTGCTGGTCAGGGCCCCTAGAATTGTCATGGAACCTCATGGAAAGAAGAGAGTTGGAACATCCACATCTTTAAACTGGTTATTATTGGAACCTGTCCTCAAGGGATCACGTTTGGGTTCAGTTTGGGACAACATGGCGATGATTTCTGAACTGTTGATGAAAAGAGGCGTGGTTATGCTGAAACATCTGCTCGAACTTGTTGGAACTGAAATTGATGATTTTGTTTCCTTGGCCCAAAGATTGGAGATTCACTCTTTGTGAACTTTAGGCATGATGCTGGCAAAGTTTAAGCAAATGTTATCAGAAGATGAAAAAAGACTCATAAAGGGATGGTTTGATGGACTTCTAGCACCTGATAAAGCAGATCCTTTTCTTTAAGCTGTATTTTAAGCCACAATTGAAAGACTTTGAATGTCCTGGACGTTTTTAGAGAAGGAAAAAATGAACGGACACATTTAGATTTTGTAAATGGAAAAATGTATATATGAAATGTGTTAAGGCTTTGAACAAAGTAAAATAAAAAATAAAAAAGAAAAGATACTCCTTGGAGAGATTTTTTTAAAGTTGGTTTTGAGGTGAAACATGTATGGTATCCAAAGAACTGAGACCTGTCAGCCTGTGCACTGACTATAAGATCTTCTCAAACTTTCTGGCATGTATATTTCTTTTTACATTTTTCACTTTTCTCAATATAAGCCACCATTGACTAAAAATGCTGGTATTATTGCAGTCAATGCTTTTGTTTCTGTTATTAACCCTGCTGTTTCAGATAAATGTCCATCCATTTTCAACAAGGATGTATTACTTTGAATAATACACCCTTGTTCCTTAGTGGGGTCAGGAGGGTTGCTGGTGCCTATCTCCAGCTAACATTCCAGGTGAGAGGCAGAGTACACCCTGGACAGGTTGCCAGTCTGTCACAGGGCAACACAGACAGGACAAACAACCATGCACACACACACCTAGGGAGAATTTTAGAGAGACCAGTTAACCTGACAGTCATGTTTTTTTGTTGGACTGTGGGAGAAAACCCACACATGCACAGGGAGAACATGCAAACTCCATACAGAAAGACCCTGTGCCAGGAATTGAACCCAGAACCTTCTTGCTCCAAAGCAACAGCTCTACCAACTGCACCACTGTCCATCCCAGATAAATGTCCTTTTTGTTTATTAAGAGAAACTCATTCATTGTTTTGTACAATGTGTTGGAATAATGGATGTATTTACATTACTAAGAGATATTTGGAAATCATTTGGAGAAAGTTTCACAGAACAGTCTTTTATTTTTAATTTTTTTTTGATATGGCAAAAGAAAGAAGAAAATTGGACGGTTGTTAATTTTTTTTTTTGGTCAGGCAAAGCTTGCAATTTACTAGTAGAGTAGAAAATTTAAAATTAATAATGAACAGAATACTGATTGTGTAAAGGTCTTTAAGAGTATGGTTAGAGCAAGAGTAATGTTAGAATATAAATATTATCTAAAAATGGACAAACTAAATATTTTTCAGAATATTTGGGATTATGAAGGTGTTTTATTTACTTTGAATAATTCAGAACTTTCATTTATGAACGTGTTAATTTGAAGTTGTGTTAATTGTTCCTATGGATCCCCACTGAGTGAATAAATGAGTTTTTTTTAAATCAAAAAAATCTCTCTCTCTCTCTCTCTCTCTCTCTCTCTCTCTCCCTCTCTCTCTCTCTCTCTCTCTCTCTCTCTCTCTCTCTCTCTATATATATATATATATATATATATATATATGTGTGTGTGTGTGTGTGTGTGTGTGTGTGTGTGTGTGTGTGTGTGTGACAGATATATGATCTATCTAAATATCTTCCATATCCTTCTGCTCTTGTACAATGTATCTAGCATTTACCATACATTTAATGTCTAATGACTAAGATAAAGTTAACTTGTCACCTCCATATGCCAAACTGGTATTTATGGGTTACATAATTAACTTTACCCCATTAGTCTGAGATAGCAAACAGAGCACATAACAGACTTTTATCCTTTAGTTGTCTCCTGTGATTGATCTCTCTCCTTAGGTAAGCAGAGCAATGACTGCAATTTTTTTTCTCTTTGGAAATGCAAAAGTGTAACTCAGATTAATCCCTCAGACCAGCATACATGTAGCAAGACCAGAAAGGAAACCTCTCCTTTAAGCAGAACCTGGAACCAGGTTCAAACATCGACCACCTTGGGGGTTTGAGGACACAGAGCATCAAAGCCCCCCACTCCTTAAAATAAAACACCCAAATAGACAGGAGCACAGAGCCAGCAGTACTTTGTAGAAATGTATGAAGTTTTTTTTTAAGTAGTTGCACATTCAATGACTGAAATGTTAAATGTGACTCTATCACTCACCATACAGATTCAATGTTTTTGACCAGTTTTGAGAAAATTTGCAGTAAAATCAGGAAAAATTTGGAAAATTTGTTGATTTTGTGTGAATTTTGCAGATTTGTGGAAAAACTGGAAGGACTTATTGATGTAATTTGGAGTCTAGGGGGCCACATAATAAGCTATGATGGGCCAGATTTGGCCCCCAGACCTTGAGTTTGACACCAATGAACTAGGAGATAAACATCTCTTTACGGAGAAGCTTGGAGCTGGGATGAAAGAGTACACATGCAGTTTGTCACATCAAAAGCTCAGCCAATAGCTTTCTGTTGTGGAGAGGGACAGTTAAACAGTGAATATTTTTGGTATATGACAGTCACATGACTGTCATGTGCTAAATTCAAATTTAAAAATACTTTTTTGATCCCAAAGGCAAATTAAATGTTGTAACTCATTTTAACTCATGTTCTTCAAAGAGTTACTGTAGCAGCAGACTAGACAAGAAGTCTACTCTGCAATGTCTCTTCTTATAGACGCTTCACTGTTACATCTTCAGTCCAGTCTGTTGTCCATTTGAACACCGAGATATTTATATTCCTCAACCACCTCCACTTCTTCTCTCATGATGGAAATAGGGTTTGATCTAATCCTGTTCCTCCTGAAATTGTTTTGTTCACGTTCAAGATGAGATGATAGTTGCCATATCCCGCTCTTTGGTCCAGCTCTCCATCCATGAAGCCTCCTTTTGTACTCCTCCTGGATTTGTGGTCATAATTCAAGTGCTATTGAATATGATTGATATATCTTGATATACCAATCAGCTGCTCCTAATAAAGATAACAAATTGTCACCATGATTATGCATAGGCTGTTTGAAAGTATTCTTCCAGCTGAACAACATCCAGAACCAGAGGTAATAACTATCCAAACACGCAATGGCTCAACCAAAAGATTTACAACAAAAGTCTACAATAAGAACACATCAAAAGGAATTTAATAGAACTACTCCAATATGCTCATACGCAATTCTATAAAGTAATAGGTAATTACTAAACAAGCAATAGTTATAATTGAATCTGTTGTTATCTCATAAACATTTCACCTCATCCAAAAAGCTTCTTCGGTTCTGAAACTGGAGTTGGAAGTGTCAAGCTTATAAGATGTAATTAGAAATAATCAGACTGACAGAAGAGGTCACAAACAAAGAAATTGTTATCACTAAGCAGCCTTCAGCTTCTATGCACCACAAATTTGGAACAAACTTCCAGAAAACTGTAAAACAGCTGAAACACTGGGTTTCAGCTGTTTTACAGCTGAAACCTAGTTGAGATTTTAAGTTAAATCTCAACTTAAAACACACCTGTTTAGAGTTGCTTATGGTTAAATTAGGATTAGAGTGTGGGTTTTGATGTCTTCGTTGTTTTTGATGTTTTTAATGGTTTTTAATGTTTTTATCTTTATTTATTAATTTCTTTTAAATGGTGTTTTAACTAAAACTCCGAGGTTTAAGAATCCTTGTCAAATGGCGTTTTGACTAAAACTCCGAGGTTTAAGAATCCTTGTCAAATGGCGTTTTGACTAAAAATCTGTAAATTCCGTCCTGTCAGGCGACGGGGCCTGGATAATATCCGTGTTAAGCTGACGGCAGAGTCCGGCGACGACAGGTGCTTTAAGTTCCGTAACAAAAGTATGTTTTCTTTTTGTTTTTGTTTTTTTCAAAATCTCTTTCTCTTTCATACTGTTTATTCAATGTCACGTGCTGTTCTTTGTTTTTTTTTTCTTTAATTATGTAAAGCACCTTGAAATGCCTTGCTGCTGAAATGTGCCATACAAATAAAATTTGATTGATTGATTGATTGATTGATTGATTGATTGATTGATTGATTGATTGATTGATTGATTGATTGATAATGAGGCCACTGAGGTGACGTAAACTCTGGCCCTACAGTCTCCTGCACTGTAATTGTTGCTGACATTGGCAATCCTATAAAGCATCCAATAATGTAAATGCGCACTGTTTAGGTCTCTAGGTCTGAGTTTCTGTGAAACTGCCTGGGGAGACGAGTCAAGGCTGGATTGTAGATGTTGAGTAACAGGGGGTCCAGTAACTAGTTCTAAGATGTGCCAGAACAATGTTCTGCCTCTCGGAACAATCAACGGTGGAAAACCGTTCCTGTCGGACCTATTTTTGTGTCGAACTCTTACTTCCGGCAAATCACTTAGTCGCAAAGGTGAAAGTAGCAGTTTTACTTGTTTCATTTTTTCTCCTTGTTTAAATTTTCTGACCGACACAGCATGGCATGGATCCCCTGGGAGTGCAGAACTCGGGAACTAACTTTAAACAACCAAAGCCCTATCCTTGATGGGTTTTTAAGCAGTTAGCTATTATTAAACACAGGAGCTAACCGGTTAGCTAGCAACTTTAGGCACTCGTTGCCTAGAATCTCCAACCCTGTGGCGGTTCGCTCTCTGTAGGCTACTTAAGTTGTAGAATCTTTACTAAGTAAACGTTTCTCTGTAAAGAAGGAACAAGCAATTCCATGTGGTCGCATTGGTTCATTATGATATTTTAATGGGAGGCGGCTTCCTTTGGAGGACTGCACACCAGGGTTTGCGTGCTGAGAAGAGAAAGGCGAACATCGCTGTCTGTTGGGCTCCCATGGAGTCTTTGGCCGGCTACGTTTATAAAGCAGCCAGCGAGGGTCGGGTCCTGACACTGGCCGCACTTCTACTCAACCACTCTGAGGTGGAGACTCGGTTCCTCCTGAGCTACGTGACTCATCTGGCCGGCCAAAGGTCCTCTCCTCTTATCATCGCAGCACGGAATGGACACGACAATGTGGTGCGTCTCCTCCTGGACCACTACAAAGTGGACACAGAACAGACTGGCACGGTCCGGTTCGACGGGTAGGTCCCTCAGAGATATCCTCTGTCCGTGTTTAGTTCAGCCAGCTATTATGCTGTCCGTGTACAGCACATGTTAGACCTACCTGTTTCTAAACCAATCTGCTTAGACCTGTTTGATATTGAGGTGCATCTCAATACAACGAAGCTGAAGTTGGTTTCCAATTCCAGCTTCCAATAGCTAAAGGGCGATTCCACTTAATTTTTCACTACTTTCCGCATCTTTAATCAACTCTAGTTTAAAAACTACTACACCTAGACACTTGAAACTGGGACTGGATTATTCTCTTCTTCAAGCTGAATATTTAAAACCTTGTTTGTGATTTGAGAAACCTTTTCCTGATTTGTGAAAACTCAATAAAGTTAGATTTTCATCATTTTTGACCATTCTTTCATTACTAGAACTACTCTAATTAAAAAAAACTACAACTCCTAGACTCTTCAAACCTGGACTAGATTATTCTCCCCTTCAAGCAGAATACTTAAAACCATGTTTGGGATTTGTGAAACTTCACTTAACAGACCCCTGCAAAAGATCTGTCCTTCCAACAGCCATCACCATCTACAATAACTCTTTGAAAAATTAATGAGTTACACCAACATTTTATTTCCCATTGGGATTAATAAAGTGGTTTTGAATTAGAATTGAATTTGAAAAAAACTGCATGGAACATATATGAATAGTAATCTGATCTTTAGTGAAGTTTCACAAATCACATAAAGGTTTCACAAATTCCAAACATGGATTAAAATATTCTGCTATTAGAGCAGAATAATATAGTCCAGGTTTGAAGAGTCTAGGTGTTGCAGTTTTGGAGCTGGAGTGACCAATATCCAAAAAATGTCCGAAATCAGCCTTTATTGAAGTTTCACAAATCAGAAAAAGGTTTCACAAATCNCAAACATGGTTTNAAATATTCTGCTATTAATTGAAAATAATCTGGTCCAGGTTTGAAGTGTCTAGCTGTAGTAGTTTTTTAATTAGAGCAGATGATCCAGATGGAAAAAAATGGTGAAAATTGAACTTCATTGAGTTTTCACAAATCAGAAAAAGGTTTCACAAATCCCAAACATGGTTCTAAATATTCTGTTCTTAGTTGAGAATAATCCAGTCGAGGTTTGGAGAGTCTAGGTGTTGTAGTTTTGGAGCTGGAGTGACCAATATCCAAAAAATGTCCGAAATCAGCCTCTATTGAAGTTTCACAAATCAGAAAAAAGTTTCACAAATTCCAAACATGGATTAAAATATTCTGCTATTAGAGCAGAATAATATAGTCCAGGTTTGAAGAGTCTAGGTGTTGTAGTTTTGGAGCTGGAGTGACCAATATC